TTACAAAAGAATTTCTTGTTTCTACGACACCAATAAGATGCCGTAACATGAATACTATTACAAAAAGAATCAACAGAATTAGCCTTATCCTTGAAAGAACGGAGGTTCCTTTCCATAAGTCCAACCAATGATGGAAAAGAGAGTGGAGCAACTCGACCAAAAACTTTATTTGAGAAATTTAGTTGAAGAATATTTGGTTTTGAAAGAAATACTTCATTTGATTAGTTACTTGAAAGGACATGGAGAAATAGAGTAGCGATTAAAATCATCTGTTCACCTTTACAGGTCAAGCATGTTGACTGCTACACAGTTTCAATTGGCGAGCTTGAGACTGTCACAAAAAGCTACAGGTTCAAGTCAATGATGCGAGGTAAAGCTCTCTCACCATTGTTGCCACTTGACTTGTGTATTTATATACATTCATGCTTGGACTTCTGTAGCCTGTTCATTTGGTTGCATATCTTATCGGGACATGGTAGAGAATTCTTATAGCCTTCTAGGTTGTGTTGTTTACATATAATGTAGAGTTTGGACCTCATGGGCGTTGCATTAATTAGAAAGACCAAACGAGTATATTTTAGTCATGGTTCATTATTAGTTCGTTCATTTTCACAGAGTGAAGTAATTTTTTTTCATGTCACAGATCCATTTTTCATACTGTTTATTGGTAGTTTTTCCCGTGGTATATTATTCTTCAATTTTCATTTTGTACTGGTGCGATTAAAAACTCTTTTTAATTTCCAGCTCCGTTGCATGGTTTTGCTTTCTGGTTTGATGTGGAGTTTTATGGGCCTGCTACTGCCATCCAAGGTCAAATACCATCGAATCCTGATGATAATCAAGTTAATGATGGCAGCCAGAGAAAGAAACGTGCAAATCCAAATGAAGCACTTGTACTGTCCACTGCACCTGAGGACCCTCCAACCCATTGGCAGCAGGTCCTTTACATGTTAATATTTTAAATATTTTTGAAATCTTTCTCTGCATGACTGAAGGTTTTAATTTCTTCTATTTATCATTTATTTTTTTGTGTAGTAAACAAGATATATTAAAGTAAAGATAATATTTACAAAAAAGAGAATGGACGAAGAATCTTTTAACTACGCAGAGATATAAAATTAAAAAATACAACCTTTTCATCTAGTGTACGTAGATACAAGAGTAAGTCCAAGATCTAAAAATTGAACACCTTTTATCAGCAATCGGATAGGACTCTAACTCAAACTACTTTCCAATATATTTGTATTTTAAAATGCTTATTCCTTTCCAACCGAGTAATGGAAAATCTACAAGGACTAGAAGATTTATATCTATCTCAGTATAGAACAACTTACCAATTTCCCTAACTTAGGAGAAACAAGCTTAATTTAAAAGATCATAAATTGTCAATGGAATATAAATTTTGAAATTGGCCACTGCTTCCTCATTGATATCTTCTTGATTTTTCAAGGCTAGCAATTTTAGGACATTTAATACGTTGCATGAGTTCTTCCGATTGAAGTCATTATAGAATCCTTTCTGTCATTTCCTTCAATGCGATTATAATGTTAATTTTTATAGAATCCTTTCCGTAATTTACTTTATTGCAATTACAGTGTTAATTTCTTATAGAATCCCTTCTGTAATTTACTTGGTTCTTTTTGGCTGTTTAATCCTTTTTCCAATTACTTTAGGAATTTTTATCCTTGAACATTTTTCTTCCTTTTCATCTATCAATGAAAAATTTGTTTCTAGTTAAAAAAAAATTTACTTCATTGTTATTAGGGCCTGAATTTCTTATAAGATCCCTGCCGTAACGTGCTTTGTTGTAATTACAGTGTTAATTTCTTATAGAATTCCTTTCGTAATTTTTTTTTTTGCATGTGAGCCCTCAAGGGGCAGCCTAGTTGAGAAGGGTTTGGGATCTCTAACCGGCTTAGAGATCTCAATTACGAACTTTCTGGTGAGCTTAATACTAAAAACTCTTGATATCTCACGGGTCCGGACCTTGGGCAGTCGCAAGTGCTCTTGGACATAGGGGTGCAAAACTCTGACTCCCAATTATCAAAAAGTTATTTATATATATTTTTTTACTTTCTCAAGGTCAAAGGTCCAAACTCACCCCACATTTGTTGTACCTAAAAAAATCATTTGACCAGCAAATGGTTAGTTAACTTTCTGGCGTTGTGTGTTGTTCTTTACAATATTATGGTCTCATAAATTTCTTCTTTTCAATCTTGTTTACTTTTTGCAGACATTAATCTACTTTTATGACCCATTAGAGGTTGAACAAGACCAAATAATTGAAGGCTCAGTTACTTTATCACAAAGCAAAGAAAACCGTCGGTTCATGAATATTCGCCTTGAATATGTGTAAGTTATATGTCATACATTTATTTTAGCAACGTTTTCTCCAGCCACTGCTTTGATATGCATCCATCTCATTTTGGTTTTGATATTTGATCTTGCAGTTCTGGTGGGCGGTCCTTTGTAAAAGAGTCGGTGATGCGATGATATCTATTCTTTGCTTTGTTTCTTGATGTGAAGCCTCAATGAGTCTTCTCAAGGTTGACCTTCCTGAAACGGTAATTTTTCAAGCAACTCTAGGAATTACTGCTCAACTAACATTTTTAGAATTTGAAGTGTCTTGAAGCTGCTGGTCTGGTTGATTACATACCAGAAAACCTTAGAGACAGTTGACTGCTGACCGTGTTTGTTTACGATTGCTTGATTAGCTTTCTTCTTCATATTGTCTCTCCTTGGTGAAAGATGTAGGCTAAGTTAGATACAGGGCTCCATTAAGAATTCTTATTCTTTCTTGTAATGCTACTTTGAGATGACAATTATAGGTCAAGTGATGGATCTGATTCAAATTTTCGATCATGTAAGAGAATGTAGAACTCCCACCATTTATTTTTTAAATGACAAGTTCATATTGTCTCTCTTTTATCTTCTAGCTTGTACTCCCTGCTATTCAAAATATCTCTCAGATCGACAGAGTAGCACACGAGCTTGCTCGTTGCTAGTGTTCGAATTCTATGTGTGAAGCAAAGTTTGTCTTTAGGTGGTGTTAATGGTTCAATTATTGGGAACTCGTGCATGTCTTTGATGCATATACTTTAAATTTTATATCTATGGTTTTAAAGAGCATCATCCAATTCCATGCCATCTTTTTAGTGTATCATTGATTTCATTTTCTTCTTGTAAAAGTAGAAAATGACACAAGATAGGTGGGCAGTTGTTGGTCTGTATTATCAATCTGGGGGACAGCAAGTGGATTTGTGGGATGGAAGTATGCCACACCAGAAATTGCTCTTCCACTTAACACCACAGTTCATAATTTTCTCCAAAAATTTCACTTTTCAGGGACAACTTGAGGGCATGCTTGCCTGTAAAGTCTTTGATTATTTATTCTTGTGATCAGGAAGATGATAAGTTCTGTTTTCTGATCCCATTTTTAGTATGTTTTCTTGTTGGTTAGAATACATTTTGGGAATCCCTATAGTTAAAAATCTTATTGTAACTGAGCCACCTTTCATTTTTGGTTGGTGTAGGTTCTTTTTCCTTTTTTATTTTTTTTTGTTAGTTGGGAGATTCGAATTCACGACGTTCTTAGTTTGAGACAAGTGTCAGTAGGTTATTGTTATATTTTTAAAACATAAACTGTATCGTTACAAACAAAAGTAACAGTATAATAGACGGCTATAGTTTTAGAATAATGTATCTTTTTTGCTCTTGAAATGGGAAAGATGATGGATTTAATATTACTAGCATGTAAGTTTTGAACCACACTACCTTTGACCTTATTGCATTGAAAAAATGTCTTTTATTCTTTTGGGTTCTGTTTATATAATTGCTTGAAAAAAAATTTGCTTTCATAAGTGCTTTTTTTAATAGAAGGTATTTGCGGTGACTTACTTTTGGTTGCTAAAAAATGGGTTTGTTTGTGATGCAAACTTTTCCAAATGCTTTTTATTGAAAAGGCTAATACCATTCATTACAATCATTTTTTTGGTTAAAAAATATTTTTGGTTAATGTGTTTTCGTTAAAGTAATGATTCACTCTCTAAACTTTATTTTGTAAATGATTTAATTCTTACGTTTTAATTTGGTAATAATTTAGTTCTGAATTATAGTATGTGACATGTTTGCCTAAATTTTAGACATTTTTTTCAACAATTTTGTCCCTATGTTTAAACTAGTTTCAGTTTAATAACAATTTAGTCCTACTTTAAGTAAAATTTTAAACTATATTGTATATTAATGATAATTGTTATTATTTTAAAAATAAAAAGATTAAATCAATACCAATTAAGGTCTTGTTTACCTACCCGCAATCGTAATCAATGAATCGTAATGAAAACTTTGATTCCATTTGATGGTGCTTATCAAATTGTAGGAATGTAATCAAATGGTGCGACCCACCTCAAACTTCGTTATAATGAAAAAGTGTAATCCCATTACACTCCTATGTACCACTTTTACAATTTCTCTCTCATCTACGGATTAGATCCATATAATTTTTTAATTAGTTTTTTTTATACTTTGATAATTTCTTCTTCATTTATACTCCAATTTTTATTAGTTGATGTGATTTTATTATATAATATTAATATTAATTAATATCAATAAAATTTTTAAACATAGATTATTACTTTTAAATATTAGAATTATAAAACTTAATAATATGTTTTATTAAAGTTTGGTTGTTCTAATAAAAAAATATTTTATTTGATGTAATTTTATTTTAATTATTCATTATGTATTAATATTAGATAAATTGTTACAATAAGATATATTAACTATCAATAATATAGTAATAAATTAAATTAAAATTTATTATTATTGTAATTTAAAAAAGATTTTAGCACAATAATATATTTGTAATTGGCTAAAAAGGAGAAACGGGTATATTAGTAATTGTTATATATCCGATTCCGATTTCGATTCCAGACAGTTTTAGTAAACAACATCAAAGGAATTCTGATTACGATTCCAGAAAAATTCTAATAAACAACATCAGTGGAATAACATTACGATTTCGATTGATTTCATTACGATTGATTTTTATTACGATTGCGGTTAAGTAAATGTGGCCTAAATGTAACAGACTAAATCATTATTTTTATAGAAATATTGGGACAAAAGGTGGTCAATTTCTTTTCCACTTTCAAAGTTGCACTCAATTAAAAGAGTTTTATTATTATTTTTTATTATTTTTTTGAGTACCAAAAAGTTGTATTTATATGTATGGACAAACAAAGATTATTTGGCTTCTCTTTCCTAAGATTATTTTAATATCATATTTTCAAAAAGTACATTGAAATTGTTGTATTGTAATTAAATTGAGAAATAGTATAGTTATCCCTAATGCCACATCAAGCCAACAAATTTTTGGACTTCACAGATAAAAAATTGATTTTCTGAAAAATGAAATTGAATTTATTTTTTCATTTAAATGATTGAAAATTGGAAGGGTGACACTTCTGCCAAAATTTTAAAGAAACATATTTCTTTTCCGTGAGAAGCAATATTGAACGTAAACAATTAGGAGTCGCAACCTCAACATTTACATTTTAAAGTGATTAAGGTACTTATTTTCGATCATAATTTCGTTTCAAATTCCTATTCTCACATTATTAAAAAATTAAGAGTTGTATTTTGGGAGAAACTTTATATTTTTATTAAGTAAATGACAAAGTAAAATGTAATATAGAAAAATTTACAAACAGAATCTAACTAAAATGGGAAGAATAATGACTAATAACTAAAAGATAAAAATATACTAATTTCTAACCCAAATAAAGTAATATCAAATAATACAAATCTAGGGTGATTATAAACTACCAAAAAAATCGTCAACACAAACTCAGTTCAGGTCAAATGTTTGTTACTTGATTTTGATTTTGATTTTTTTGGTAAAACAAATTTGGTGGCGAGAAATTTGAATCTTCTATCGCATGGAAAGAGGTAAATATATTTACTATTTAACGCTCATATTGACTAACAAAATTATTATTAACAAGCAATATCAACTAATTAAAGCATTAGTAATCTCGTTAACATGAACACAGTTCAATTAGTTAAGATATATATCTTCAATTAAAAAGAGACATTTTTGTTTGTATAAATTCCATGAAATATAATTTAGAGAAATCTTTCTTTCTTTTGTGAAAGAAATGGGGCTTTTGTGTTTGTTCCCAAAAGAATATAAAGTCAATTTTAATCATTCATCCACAACCCTACACTCTCAATAAAGCAAATGCATGAAGATTCACCCATACCATTGCAAATACTCTATCTCTTTCTTTCTAGTATATTCAAATTATCATTAAAATTACACTTTTTTATATAAAAAGCAAAACTTTTTTTTTTTAAATTAAATATAGTTGGGTTATTTTTTTTTTTTGGGTCCAAAAGTTGTTCATTTTCAGTTAATACTATTTGATGGGAAGAGTAGTTTTATAAAACTAGCATATTTAAATATGTTTCGTATCCTCCGCTCGATCTCTACTCATATTAAGGTTTAAAATATTGATGTCGGTAAAAACATCGAAGTCTCAATTTCATGAAAATGTCAATATATATTTCTGGAAAAAATTATAAAATATAAAAGTTATCATAAATATTTAACCAGTTTTAAATAAATTAAAAATTATTATATATTATCAATATTTTTGCAATGTCAATTCACCCGGACTATTTCGTAAGAATGTATACATAAAAAACTAAGATGTAAAATTTTATGCATGGAAACTACACATCAATGATCATTTATTAACTGTTTCTTTTTAAAATTATGCTGGTGAAGTATGAAAACAAAAGTATTTTCAAAATATTTCAAACTTTAGTTTTGAATTTGAAAATATTTTTTAAAAAATAGATTCAAAACAAAAGAATATAAAGACGAAAATTTATAACCTTAATTTCTAAAAGCAGAAAATCAAAAACAAAATAGTCACACCAATAACTCAATTATACTCTAAACCCCACAAACTCTCTTTTTTCCTTCTCATATTTCCCACACATAAAATCCCTCATTCTCATCATTCTCATGCCTGCAACCATGCTACCTTTTCTTCTGTTTCTTCCTCTTTTAACCGCCACCGTCGCCGCCACCGCCGCTTACCCGGTCACCCAACTGCTAAATGTCAAAGACATAACCAAAGAAACAGAATCCGAACCCACCAGACTACCAGAAGATCTCCCCCTCCATGAAAACTACCCTATTCATAACACCACCACTCACACTCAATGGAAGCTCAAGCTCTTCCACAGAGATAACCTACCCCTCAACTTCGATCCCGACCATCGCTGCCGTTTCAAAGAGCGTATGGAGAGAGACCTCAAAAGGGTCTCCTCTCTGCTCCGACAACTCTCCAACGACAGTAACGAACAGGTGATTAAGGATGGAGTGAAGAAGGAAGGAGGGAGACAATTGCCCGCCTTACTATATATAATATATTAAGTTTTCATAGTGTTCCTTCTAAATTCCCACTCATAAAGTGGGAATGTTACCTATGTAAAAAGTTAAAATTTTGTTTTTGCTCCTGCAGGTGACGGACTTTGGGTCCGACGTGGTTTCGGGCACGGAGCAGGGGAGCGGAGAGTACTTTGTGAGGATCGGCGTCGGCAGCCCGCCGAGGAGCCAATACGTCGTGATTGATTCCGGCAGCGACATTGTTTGGGTGCAATGCCAGCCATGCAGCAAGTGCTACCAACAGTCCGACCCGGTGTTCGACCCGGCCGGATCCGCCTCCTACGCCGGCGTCTCCTGCGACTCCTCGGTGTGCGACCGCCTCGACAACGCCGGCTGCAACGACGGCCGGTGCCGGTACGAGGTGGCGTACGGCGACGGCTCCTACACGAGCGGCACGCTCGCTCTCGAAACCCTAACTTTCGGGCGGGTCATGATCCGGAACATCGCGATCGGGTGCGGGCATATGAATCGGGGAATGTTCGTCGGAGCTGCCGGGTTGCTCGGCCTCGGCGGCGGCGCCATGTCGTTCGTCGGCCAGCTCGGCGGCCAGACCGGCGGCGCGTTCAGCTACTGCTTGGTGAGCCGCGGCACCGAGTCCACCGGGTCGCTGGAGTTCGGGCGCGGGGCGATGCCCGTCGGCGGCGCGTGGGTCCCCTTAATCCGAAACCCACGCGCGCCGAGTTTCTACTACGTCGGGCTCTCGGGTCTCGGAGTGGGAGGCACTCGGGTTCCAATACCCGAACAGATCTTCGAGCTCACCAATTTAGGGTACGGCGGCGTTGTGATGGACACCGGCACCGCCGTGACGAGGCTGCCGGCGCCGGCGTACGAAGCCTTCAGAGACACCTTCATCGGACTAACCGCGAACCTCCCTCGATCGGCCGGAGTATCGATCTTCGACACATGCTACGATCTGAATGGATTCGTGTCGGTTAGGGTTCCGACGGTGTCGTTCTACTTCTCCGGCGGGCCAATACTGACGTTGCCGGCGAGGAACTTCCTGATTCCGGTGGACGGCGAGGGGACGTTCTGCTTCGCGTTCGCCGCGTCGCCGTCGGGATTGTCGATAATAGGGAACATCCAGCAAGAGGGAATTCAAATCTCCATTGATGGAGCAAATGGATTTGTGGGATTTGGGCCAAGTATTTGTTAATTCACCAAAATTCAAAGGGCAAATCTGTCATTTTGAATACTCTTACATTCTTCTTCCACCTATGTAATATACATTTTTGTTTTCTTAATTAGATTTGAACTATCAACTAGTTGGAATCATCACTCTTGATGATATCGTATTGTAGTGTAGAATGTAATTTTTTATATCAAGTTTTTTCTTTGAACTTATGAAGATAGTTGAAACTTTGCTGATGAGAATATTGTACTTTTTGAAATGTTAAAGATATAGTCAAGTATGGTCCTGGTTGAGATTCAATAATTGTTTTTACTAAAAATACATCGGGAAGTTGTATAGTGTCACTTAGTCTTTCGTCAGTCATTAACAATAAAATTATATTACAAGAGGTTAGCGATCAAACAAAAGGTAATAATTAGAAAGAGATTAATTTTGAGTAAGCAAAGGTAATAATAATCAGAAGAGAAAGGGTCAAACATGGGCAATGGGAAAATGAAAGAAAAATGAAAGGGTGTAAAGTGGGTCAAAAAGAGTGGGGGAAAAGGGACGTGAATAAACAATTGGGCAGTAGAATAGTAGTTTTGAGTATGGTGATAGAATCCAAGGGACCCCTTTAAACTTTTGTACTAGAAATAATTGATCTCTCCCTCTCTCTCTCTCGCCATTTGTGAGTGTTTCGGTCACTTTACACACATCTCAACTAATCTCATAAGACAATCGCATGATCCTACTACATTTAGTTGTTAAGTAAACTTGTGGAATATTAAATTCGAGTCTTAAGTGGCTTGAACTCGTTCTCTCTCTATGTCGTTTATTATTGGTCTTTACTGACCATTGGGCCAACCTACATACTCACGAGACAACCGTCTGATCAAACTCTAGGATATTAACTCCGTCATCGTCGTCACTCCTACTCTCTCTCACAAATGGAATGATGAAGTAAGGGAGCCACCACTAAGGCAGACATGTGAAGGCATCACTGGGGTTCTGGTCTTGCCTTTGAAGTGCATTCAAGTAATGACTTTTGCAAAGCCATTTGCTTTTTCCTCTTTTTATGACATTGTGAGATCAAGATTGATTACTTTTGTCCCCTTTTCCCTTTAAATATGCCTTCCAAATTGAGTTAAAACAATTTTGAATTACAAACATTTAAATATTGACGCGAATGTTGAGATCTTAGTTTTAGGAAAATATCACTGTCGCTCACACTAGTGATACTGTTTTAATATTCTTTTTCTTTTTAATATTTCTTCAAATTTTTACGGTATGATGAAATTATTGATTGTAGTGCAAGACAAAGCCATAGAATATTTTTGTATCTTTGAAGAATAGAGATGAAGTTACCAATAGGCCACTTAATTCCCATGCTCACTTTATGTCCCAAAAAGCTAAAATTTGCCCATGAAATTTGTGAAAGGAGAAGGAATCAATTAAAGGCAATGTAAGCTTTAGTCAGGATCAAGGATCAATTTGGATATACTTTCATCTCCATGCATATTTTTTTCTTCGGGATAATAGTGATTGAAATGTGATGTCACTTTTACAGCCCAATTCTATGGAATAATAACACAATTTTACGTTTATACCAAATACCTATTTACATGATGTAAGAAGAATAATATTTGCCTACACCTTAGTTGAAGTTTAAATATTATTTTAAAAAGTGACATTTAAAAAAAAAAAGTGACCAATTTGATCTCTATTTGCAAAAATTTAACATAAATTTCACACAATTGAAACCCTTTAATACGGACTACATTTCAAGAAATTTAATGAATGAAATGTCATGCTAAAATTGTGATCGAAAGAAATGAGATAAAAATGAAAATGAATTGACCATAATAGTCGTTTTTTGAAACTACAAGACTAAAAATGGATGTTTTGGAAGTATGGGAACTAAAATAAACAAAAGTCGAAAATTTTGATATGGTATAACGTAATATAGTAAGAATTAATTAATATATTTCATTGGTCCAACATTTAAAAGAAACTCACCAGCTGTTGACATCTTTGAAAGGAAAAAAGTGGCCCATGATTTGATGTGCACTTAATGATTAGCTACTAAAATCCAAACCACAGCTTGACTAAATGGCTAAAACAATGGGACTCCAAATTTTACACCTATTAAGACAATGGTGTTTCTTTTACCATGGTTAGCTAGTCGCTAATATTACTTAAATAACGCATAGTGAGCTACGTTACATATAAAATAATACATATTTAAAGAGTATTCAAAATCGGAGTATTCAAGTATCTCAAGAGTTGAAGGAACTCCCCAAGCTAATAACAGATCATTATCGAAAGTTCGTAAAAAGGTTACATTATGATTGCTTGGCCCCTCATGGAACAATTTAAGGACCAATTGGACTAGTCCTTTCAAACAGCTCAAACAAGCCATGGTAGCCATTCATGTGCTTGCCTTGCGTAGCTTTTTGTAGATCATCTGTTGTTGAAGTTGATACTACATTAAGGATGAAAATAAAGGCGATAACGTTGCAAGATTGCATAATTTCATAAGCTCGATTGAAAATAAATGCAAGGGCAACATTACTTTCTCAACAAAAATATTGATGGTAATAGTATAAAAACCGATCATAAGCTTGGGATGCAATTTGTAGTTAAAAATCATTCATAAGCATGAACCATCTTCTAGACACTACTCATTGTCGAGAAATATGCTCAGCTAGTAACGATTGCAATATACAACATGGATCAAGGATGAATAAAAGGGTAGCCAACACGTATTCTCACGGTGATATCTATCCATTATGTACATGATCTTGGTGTATCCCCTTTAGGGGCCTTCTTGATTTGAATACACTTATTTTGTTTCTTATGAAAAAATAAATCTGAGTCCAGAAAAGTGTCAACTCATGGCCTTGCCCCCAATTTAAATTTGATGGGGCATTCTAACTAGTGAAGGCATGTGTTCATATTTGCCAAAAAGAATCTTGCTTGCATTTCACTGCTTGAAGAATCTTACCATTCTAGTGATAATTAAAAAACAAACAACATCTGACTAGTTTCTTTTCAATCGTAATATCAAAACGGCAAATGAAACATGAAATCCAATCTGGATGCAGAAAACTAGAGGCAAAATAGAGACACAAACCACTAAAATCCATTTTAGACAATTACAAATGATTCCTAATAACCCTCTTTCAGAACAATCACCCCCGAAGTTCAAACCAAATCAAGCAGACAAATAAAACAAGGGTGAGCAAATGAGAGTCAATGTCAAACCCCGATGCCTGGAGAGTTTTACAGCCAGGCCATGCCCCAACGAACCAGCATGTTGGACAAAAAGTAGAATAGAACAACCAAGACGACACGTGAGCTTATGTGGATCACCCGATCTAGTGGTCCAATGGTGCAGGATTGATCAAACTTGAGGTTCTAATTCTCTTAGCATGGGAGATACCGGCAAGTAGAAAGAATGCCCCAACTGTTGTAGGAAAAATCTATAGTATTCTGATACCATACAGTCATAGGGAGGTTTGACCCAAAAAGAAAAAGTACCCAAATAATATTTCATTCATAAATAGATATTCATGGAAGCCCCTGAACCAATATATTGGGAAATTACAATGAATAAGTCAGCAATAAGTTCCAAACAGCTAAGATATTTACATATGTATGTGATAGTAATATACCAAGTACAAATCCTGAGTTCAAATCTGCCTCATGTTCCCAATGTCAGATGAGTCTCAACAACATCAATTATTCATCAGTAACAGAGCAACTAGATAAGGTCAGAAGTATGAAATAACTGACCTAAACACGAGCATAGCCCTTTTCCTTGGGTTCACTGTACTACAGTTATGGTGAATTGATGACATCTTAATAGAAGAACACGATTGATCAGTGGTAAAATGTACCTTAACGTATGCCATCTTTGTTCCATCCTCTCTTCTTCAATCTTCAGAATTCAATAGTTGAGTTGCATATTCTCTAAGAAACCCAATGAAACCTGTAATATTTTATAAGCATGTGTCTTGCAATATGGACCTGGGCTTTCGTGAGAAGGTCATTACAGAATTTAGACGTAATGACAAAAGAGAGAAAAAGGCAACTAAAACTGAACATTTTGTATACAATAGAAATCAACTTGGATATTTACAAGCAGCCCTATCTAGAGATACTTCAGCGCTCGACTGAAACGCCGAAGAAGAAAGAAAAAGAAAGAGAGAAAAAAAAAGGGAAGATGGGGGACGGAAAAAGAAAATGAGGCTGCTAGGGCCACAAAAACTCATTTATGTTACCACTAGTATATGCTGACCCAGTCCATCCTGTGGGGCCAGTCTGGTGTGCCAAATAAATGCAACCAGCGTCTCTCGCCCTTAAATTATGAGAATCAGAAGTTATTCTGATCCCTACAAAATTTTTCCACAAGTGTAAGCTAATAAAACTTTGGAAGATGAAGCCAAAATGCCGGTTGACAATTCAAACCATAAAGAGATATCTGAGATCTTCTACTGTCAGGCGAGAAGCAGAACCTCCACTTTGATCTTCACCAAAAGCTGATGCAACCATTTTTCTCTTCTCTTCCTGCGGAACATTGGTCAGAAAGGAAAAACATCTTCACGTGAATATTATGTGCATATCTATTTCATTTTGTAAAGCACCAACCCAACCTCTAAACAAATGTTCAAAATGATCGAGTATCCAAAAACAGTCAGAATCAACAAATATTTTTGCTAACACCTGTATTATTTAATCATCAAATAAATCATCAAAGCTATGCAGAACCTTCAACTTCAACTACAATGACAATTGACAATTGACAACTTTTATTGAGGGACTTTTTCTTTTAACGTAGTCCAGGATTATAAAGTGAAGGATATCTAGATTACCATACGTATTGTGCAATAATTAAAGATACTCAAGTATCTAACATTGTATGATATTTGTAACTTGATAAACAATGTCATATACGACTTCTTGTATATCACTTCATGGTCATGTATCTAGACTATTGTAGTGTACAGTCATTCCCTAGGAGGGCATGTGGTGTGGATCACTTGTAGGCTTGTAGCAAGTGCTCATGACCACGAGGTCGAGAGACCATCAGTCATATATATGAAGCAGAAGTGTGTTTTTTGTCCCACAGAAGTTGAATTCCCAGGACATTGGGTTAGCCAAGGTCAGATAAGGACAGGATAAGAGTAATGTTAAGGTAGTCCTAGAGTGGAACGTTCCTGCTAAAGTAAGAAGGCCTACAATCTTTCTTAGATGGCTAATTATTACAAGAGGTTCATTGCAGGTTTATTCAAGGAAGGTAGCGCCTCTTACATATTTGTGGAGAAAAGACCGAAAGTGGAAACAGGAAAATGAACGTTACAAGGCATTGGATAAGTCATAAGCTAAAGAAGGTGATTGCATTAGAACCAAAGAAGGTGATGCATGTGACTCATGCATCTGTCTTTTGACAAACAAGTAACGAAATCAGCCAAAGTTGTGATCTTTTTCCTCCAGTAATGGACCATGATGGTTAGTTTAGTTGCTACCCTAGAAAGGTGTCCCAAACTCCCAATCTTATATCTCACATCAACGTGTCCATGTCATTGTATATTTGTCATGTGTCCACGTTTGTGTGGGTAGCAAGGAGATTTGGGTCTAAGCAACATCAAAGAGGTTTGAGATACCGTCATTTTCCCTCTAGTATGGGACATGATGATTAGTTGATATCCTATCCCAAAAAGGTGAACCAATCCAATCCTTAGATCTCACAGCGACGTGTTTGTGTTGTGTCGTATTTGTGTCA